TATAATTAATTAAATTATTTAATTGATTAAAAATTATAATTAATTACAATGATTATTATTGATTAATTAGTAAATCAATAATTATATAATAAATTGTTAAGTGAATTATGATTAATTAAATTATTTAATTGATTATAATATTATGATTTTATTGTTTAACTAATTGATAAATATAGATTACTTTAATTAAATAAATTAATTGATTATAAAATTATGATTTTATTATTTAATTTATTAATAAATATTAATTACTTAAATTTATCAATTGATATTTTCGGTCATTGTGTTTCTCCGAAATATCCTCTGTGCAGCTGATTGATGTGTGCAATGTGGGTCCCACCAACTTTTCAGATATTTCGGTCATGGAGAATGACCGAAGTAACCTTCATTTACCCTCTTAACCCGCTGCTTCTACCATTTCTTATTATTGAAGTTGCTCGTGGTGTTTGAGTTCTCTCTCATTTCTTGCCCCGTTGCTGCTTCTACCATTTCTTATTATTGAAGTTGCTCTTGGTGTTTGAGTTCTCTCATTTCTTATCCCATTGTTTTGCAATTGATTTGGTTGATTATTGAAGGTATTTTTTTTTTATTTCTCGTTTTTTAAGTAGTTCAGTGATGTTTGAGTTCTCTTTTGTCTTTCCTATTAACCACTCTACTCTGTAGTTAATTTGTGTGGCTATTGAATGTTTTCTTTTTAATTACTATAATTATTTGTTTGATTTGAAGTGTAATAAGGTAATATATAATATCTTGAGAATTTGATTTTTTTCTTTTTCTTACTGTTTTTTTTACAGAGATATTTATACTCAAATTTCTACCACTGCTCTCCATCATCAGTTGTGTCCCAATCTGCTCTTCTATTTGAGTTGTTAGTATGTGTTTCAATTTTTATTTTTGTTGTATATAATTCTTATTTATTTAAAAGTAATTTTTTTTATTGTGAAATCATTGATATATAATTAATTTATTTGTATGTTTTTATATTTTACAATTCATTAATTTTTTTTGTAGGTTCGTCCATCATATTCTAAAGCTCACTTTTGATTGACCAAAATTGAAAGTCTTTAAGTATGTACTAATTTTTTTTATTAATTTTATTGAATATCATAATTAAAAATATTTATAGGTAAATGTATTTTTATACTTTGTTTTAGAAAAAAGCTCAATTTATACGGAAAAGTCTGTCAAAATTTTTATAAACTTATAATGAATTGTAAAATTTTAATCTTGAGGTGCTAGGGTCGTCCTCTTCTTTTTTCTTTTTTTTCTTTTTTTTGTTTTTTCAAAAGTTGTATTTCGGTCATTCATAAAGACCGAAATAATCAATTATTTCGGTCATAACTTATGACCGAATTAATTTTAGCTTTGTTTCAATGCCGCGATTAACTATTGAATAGTTTTGTGAAATTTTCACCATTTTATTTTCGGTCATATTGACTGACTGAAATATATGGACTTCCCGCTGCATGTTTGGCTGAAAGGTTTTGAAATTTTGCGCCTTTTTTTATTTCGGTCATATTGACTGACCGAAATATATGGACTTCCCGCTGCATATTTGTGCTGAAAAGCTTTGAAATTTTCGCCTTTTAAATTCGGTCATTTTTATTGTCCGAAATAGTCCACTTCCTTTATATTCATCAGGTCAGACTATTTTCATCACATAAATTACTTCTCCTTCGTTTCTTTCTTCTTCAAATCTCTTATAACCTTTCTTTCTGTTTTTAGTTCTTCTTCCATTTAGGGAGATTTAACAATTTTTTTTTCAATTTTTATTCATGGCTTCTTTTTTCTTTCCCTTCTTCTTCATCTTTCTGTTGTTATTTCAATTAATTTATTATGATGTTTTAGCAGCCTCTCCATGACTTTGTTGGTTGAGCCTTCGTCTCTTTGAGCTAAAAGAAATACTAGCGAGTAGATGAAGAGATGATTTTATTAATTCCTCTTTTTAATATATCATTTATTTTCATTATCTTTTATTATATGATTATCCAAATTTTTCTTTATTTTTTATTATCTTGTATATATGTTTTTTTAGTGCTTCTATTAATGGTTTAATTTTTCTTTGAAAAGGTTGTATAGTTTGGTAACAATGGGCAGCACATTTTGGAGGTAATTTCATACATATATTTTTTTTTTTCATATCTTATGTTAATTTATTTTCATTCTTTAATTTATTTGATTAAATTTATGGATATATATATTTTTGTATTAATGTTTGTTTTACTTTTGCAAAGGTTAAGTATTTTTAGCCGGATCAATGTTGTGAGGATGTCTCCTGCTCCCATGTAATCCGGTTGAAGGTCATCATCACCTTCTTCTCCCTCCATTATTCCTTTTTTTTTTTTTTTTGGATAGGCAATAATTGTTATTAATTGAGCAAAAATTGGTGGATTGGATTGTACTGGAAAGATGCAAAAGGGCCTGCGTTTTCTTGAAAGAGAAAGTTTAAAAAATAAAAGATAAAATTCGATTTTTAATTTCCTTATTCAATGGCATATTCAGTGGATTGCAAAAATTAAATGGAAAATTCTATTCGGTGAGTTGTAGCTAAGGACAAGATGAAAGGCCTATAAATTATATATTTTTTTAGATATTACTCTTTCTGTTTTTTTGTTGTTTTTTTTTTTCCAAATTCAATTGTCTCTGGATTTTTGCTCTTTTTTATGGAAAAAAAAAATCTCCATTTTTTAATATACTTTTAATATATTAACAAACAAAGTAGAATTTGGCACAAAAAAAAAATCTAAGCTGAAATTCATTTAATATTTTTTTTATTTCCAAACTTAATTCGGTCACAATTTTTGACCAAAAATAATTCGATTAAGATTACAAAAATATCCCTCCCCATTATTCTGAACTGGTTGGTTTTTAATTAACTAATTCGGTCATCCTCCTTGACCGAAAATAATTCGGTTGAAATATCAAATATACCCTTTGCATTAAATTCCTTCATAATTAATTCGGTCAATAATATTAACCAAAATGTTTGTAAAATAATAATAATTTTTTTCAGTCAAATAATTTATCCGAATATAAGAGTTATTTATTGATATATTGAATGGTTATTACGGTCATAAATACTAACCGAATTAAGTTTTATTTCGGTCAAGACAAAATACTCTCCGAAATTTTATTTCGTTCAACGGTTATTCGGTCCAACATTTTGGTCATTGGTATTGACCGAAGTACTTGTTTTTCGGTCATAATTTGGGTTTTTTCGGTCATTTCTCTTGACCGAAATGCTTCTTTTTTCTAGTAGTGGTTGATGCCAAGGAAGACGAAGATGGTGACTACGGGGAGGAGGATGAAGACAATGGTGAGGGAGATGCTCAAGTGGACAGAAAAGGGAAGGGGATTTTGATAGAAGAGGAGGACGACGACGAGGATGATGACGATGATTCGAGTGATGGCAAGGATGATGAATTAGATGCTGAGAGCGATTTGTTCGATGATCCGTTGGTTGAGGTTGATTTGGACGATTTGATGAGAGGAGAGAGTGGAAATTCATTTTGAAATTAAAATTCATAAGTTTGAGAGTGAAATTAAAATATTCGGTTTTTATCCTCTTGAATTATTTGGGTGAAATGAATGTATTTCAACTAAATTCAACTACATTTTATTTAAATAAAAATAAACAGTAACATTAAATTTAAGATATTAAAATTCAAATATATTATAACAAATTCATGTTCCAGAACAAAACATTAGAGATTTTTCACAGGATTGAATTTACTTTGTCCCTTTTACTCAATAGGGAATGGGTCTCCAAGTGGATTCTTCGTATTTTATAAATCTATATTATAAAACCAATTTAATTATTTCTATTTTATTATTTTAAAACAAAATATTTTAAAAAGTTGGGTTAAAGCAGGATTTAGTTTAGTTTAACATATTTAGACCTTAGTATTGGATTAAAATTAGAAATGAGTGATGTCTAAACCTATGACTATGAGTTAAAATATTTAAATTGCGTTGGATTTATTATTATTATTTTTTAATGTTTCATGCAAACAATAATCCTCACAAGAATTCTCTGCAAAATTTCATAAGGAGAAGATGCTCCTCATACCTACCTCACGGAAAAAAATATTTTTCCTAACCTTGTTCCCATGGCTAGGATCTTGCGGGCCACACAAAAATTAGGGAAAATTATCATCTCTTACATTAACTACTAATTTAAAATTAGTTATTAGCGAAAGAGCAGCGATATAAAGATAACTTTTTTATACAAATTGTGTTGGATTTACTAATTTTTCATTTTTCTTTTAATGTTCAATGAGAACAAGAATCATCGCAGGAATTCTCTACAAAATCTCATAGGGAGAAGATGCTCCTCATCCTACCTCACAAAAAGGAATATTTCTCCTAACCCTGCTCCCATGGCTAGGATCTTGCGAGCATACAAAAATTAAGGAAAATTGTCTTCTCTAACATTAACTACTAATTTAGAATCAACTCTTGCCAAAAGGGCGGTAATACAAGGACAACTTTTTTATACAACTTTGACATGTCATTCAATGAGTAGATGTGCTCAATATTATGAGTTTTAAATAAATAAAAAAAGTCAATTATTTAACTGACACATAAATTTGTACCAAAATATAATAGACATATTGTCCCTAAATCATTTTCCTTATTGAAATGTTGGTGTGGTTTTCTCTTTATGCCTTCTTTAATCCTAGCTAGTTTTATAAGCTTCAATTAGAAGAGTAGAAAAAGATTGAATAATAATATCACCGGTCTAGAACCACTAATTCCCTAGTATTTGTCACAATGACTCCAATAGCAGCTTCCATGTTCACTTGCTTAGGACTTGTTTGGTTTAACTTGTCAAGGTTTTTGCCTTTTTAGTACTGTTTATGAGAGATAAATTTAAATTTTTATTAGAGGGAAAATTTAAAAGTTACTTTTAGAGATAGGAAAAAGTAAGTAAAAGGGAAGTTAAAAGGAATAAAAGAAAAGTAAAAATGGAGTTTATGAAAAGTTTGAATTTGAAGTTTTTGAGTTTTTACTGTTTGAGGTCTTTTTAAGGTTAAAAAAAAGTTAAAAAATGTAAGTTTTTAAGAGGAAAATTTAAATTTATAAAACATGAATAGTATAAAAAATCTAAAACTCATAGAAGCTAACCCAAACATGCCCTTAGTGCCAAAGGCCACCTTACATTTGATATAGACATATATAGAACTCACCTAGTGCCCTGAACTTGAAAAAATTACATATTCCTAGAATGCTTTTCCATACGGACTAAGCAAATCCTAAAACTGCTCTTTCCTAAATCAAATCAAAACCAGTAATTAACACAACAGATTAGGCATACATTGTCCAAATAAAGATTCACAGACTGTGTCTAGATAACAGTAGAACTCAAATATTTATGAAGAATAGTGCATCACTCTCACAATCTAACAAGAGGAGCAATTTTTTCCTGCACATAAAATACACAGGGTGGAAGAAATCTTATCATGTCCTGCTAATTTGGCTTGATTTCGATGCCTTCAATAATGACACCACTCTTCCAGTGACCATTAAAACAAAAAATCTGTATTTCCAATTTGCCATCTTCACCTCCTTCATTTAAGAATTCACCCAACATAGCTCTAATTAACCATCTCCCCTCTCTATTGGGCACCGATAATCATTTTGTACATCTTCACCTTCTGCATGCAGAAACAGAGTTCACTGCCAACCTTCAGTTCCGCTAAGTCAAACAGTGGCTTCTATAGGTTCATTTCTAAATCCAAAAACTCTAGTTGCTAGCTTGAACACTAGGGATGCCTTATAATGTGTCATTGAAGAAAGCTAGCAAGTATTGATCCTCCAATTGATTTAAACCAACAAACATCGAGAACATCTTCACCCTCAAGGAAGCTGTTAGTAATTAAGCATGAATTACAGACATTAATCTTGACATATTTATTAATTTTTAGTTGGTGAAGACACTTAAAAACAATCAACTACATGCTTGAATTCTTTTGGTTGGGTGTGAGTGAAACTGTGTCATGCATGCCTTTTGTCTGCCTTTTCCATGTGGTGCTTGTGTGTGTGTGTGAGCTGGAATCTCGAATGGAGTTCAAAGAGAGAGAGAGAAACCTGGAATCTCGTATGGAGTTCCATCTCCAATAACAAGGAGTATCACCCCATGTAATTGCGAGGTCCCTGGCAGCTAGCATGTAACATTTCTTCCCACTCCTTTTGTGCAGTGAAAAGCTCTATGCAATACAGGTTATACAATTAAACACTCAACTGGTTCTGAAAATGTTGGCCAAAAAAATACTAGTACTGAAAATGAATAGTTTGGAAAAGATTACTGATCAAACTTCAAAATATCAACAAGGAACCAAAGGAACACATAAACTCACCATAGAAAGGACATAATCATCATTAATCATTATTACATCACCAACAAGAACATGATCCTCTAGCAAGCATATTCCAAAAAAAAGAAGTATTGAATACCAAGGCAACACATCCATAAGTTTTGTAAATTATACCAATAAAAATCTTTGTAGTTAGCTGCTTCATATAGACCTGAATTCAAGACTATCAACACAAAAGAAAATAACACCAAGTCATGGCCTTATAACACAACCATATATAGCTACACACCAACAAAGCATGACGAGCTGACAAAGCTCCAACAAAGCATGACGAGCTGACAAAGCTCCAACAAAGCATGACGAGCTGACAAAGCTCCAACAAA